TTGCTAGAATGATGACTGGAGGGGGCGGTGGGAAGGTGAGTGCTGCAGTCTGAGCTGTCCAAAGTTCAATGAACAGAGCTAGACTGGGAGCTAAAAGAGAAATGCCAATGAAACTATTATGGTCTTAAATGTAAGAATTTGGAAGAAAAAAACCCAGAACACTGAAAGTAAACTGTTATCAAATGTTATTTGGATATACCAAATAGGATCAGTGGTAGAGTATAAAAGTTGCAGAAATGGCTGCTTATAAACAAAAACCAAAACTTGTATCTCCCCAGATTCTATTTCTAAACGGTTAAGGTTGTAAAATCTTCTAAGTTGTTTCATTTTATTACATTCTTACTCTCATGAGTTTCTATTGATGTTAATGATTCTGTTTGAGAAAATCTTATTTCTAAATTTCAGCATAATTTCATGACCTATTTATCCCAAGGTAGCTTACGAATAATCAACTTTTGCACGTAATTATCTTGAACTAATTAGACATTATCTTAAGTCCATTTAGTTGCAAAACACATTATACTACAATACAAATAAGCAATTAAGATTTGATTTTTGAAAATTTACTAAACATCTATTAAATAATTTAAGCAATTTTATCTTTTCAATGAGTGTTTCCTCTTGACATATTGAGGTATCACATTAAAATACATTATAGCTAAATGTTCTACAATATTACTGCTAAATCAACAGAAAACCAATTGATCTTGAGGAAAGGTTAATTAATTTGGGCTACAGGTCTCCTACTTTGGTCTGCATTGAAAAGAATTTGTATTGATCGTAGAAAATTTTTGCAAAGAAACTTAGTAAGCATTTTTGTGGAATTGAGATCATTTTTTAAAGTACTAAAACAACAAGATTTTTTAATGTTATCACTCCAGGAATTCTTTTCTGCTATGGCTCATTCAAATCTGTTAGACTCCTGAGAAAAATAATGTTTTGTATGCTTTCAGTGAAATAAGTCCAGTATTCTAGGCTTCAGAAAATGAAAACAGAAGTTAAGAACATTAATAGGATTGTTTGTTTAATCCCTCCTCCCTTAATAATGCTCACCAGTTTATTCTGCTATAAAGAGTTCACGAAGGGACAAATGGAAATTAAATTTTATCTGTGACGTAAACAGTGTAATAACCATCACGTAGAAAACAGACCGAGCTGCCTTCTACTTGGGAACACTTCTAAGTTGTGTAGTTTCTGGTGAGCTTTCCCCCTAGCTGAGTCTAGGTATCTTCTCTTTTTATCAATTTAAAAAATGTGTCAGTCCCGGAACAAGGTGAAAGTTAACATGTGAAGTTCTCTTCCCCAGAAATATATTGACTCCCAAAATATTTTTCTTTCTTTTTATTTTTTTCTAAAAGTGCTCGGTAGTGGCGTCGTCACTGGATCGTAGAGCCTCGGAAGCTTTGCACTAGAAGGTCTGCAAGGAAGGTTTTTTCTTCTCCCCTCCCTCTTCCCCATCCGGAGACCCCTCCCCCATCTCGAGGGAAAATCCTCAATAAAGCGAGCCCGGTGGACCGCGGCTGAGCGGTCAGCATCCCCTTTCCGCCCACATCTGCAGGAACGAGTGTCCGAGATGAAGAAATAGAGAAATTTGAAGACGAAAAGGGGTGTGGGCGGGGGCCAGGGAAGGCGGCGCGCTCGAGGAGGGTCGTCGCAGCACTCCCTCGGAACCACAGATGTTTTCCTCCTGGCCCTGGGGCGCGGCGCCCCAGCCCCGGGCGTTCCGGCGTTTGTGTGTCCGGGTTTCCGAGGAAGGGATTACGCAGCGGGAGCCGCCGCGGCAACGCGGGCATTGGGGCCGCGGGAGCGGTAAAGCGACGCCTGGCCTTCTTTGTTGACTTTTAGGTCTCGGGCTCGACAGAAGATTTATTCGCTAGGAGGGGAAAATGCCCAAACAATACAGAACTAACTGCACTTGTCACTCCGAGATGCCTGCGGTCCTGCTCTGTCCCTCTTCCCTGGCAACCGCCCGCCCAGGCCCCCGTGCGCGTCCTTCCTAACGAGCCGGGCGCAGGTCGCCCAGACGCGGCAGGACGCGCTTAAGGTGTCCGGAGGTGCTTTTCTGCTCAGAGGTGGCAGAAAAGCGCGCGAGAAGCCCACGAAACCAGGTCCCCGCGACCCACCATGCTAGCTTCTCAGGCAGGTTTCCAAAGTGGCCTCTGCCAGCAACTTGCGGCGCCTCGCCCCCCGCAAGCCCAGAAAAAGTCTCTGCCAAGTAAGACAGAGCGAGCTGAGGCCCACTTAAGCCTAACGGGTGGAAGCTAGACACTGAAATTGCTAGTATGTTAGAGAGGGAAGGGAACATCACCGAGGGGAACGCGAAAGTTAGACGATAAAGACTCAGTGGGGCTGGTAAAATTCCTCGGCCCAAACTCACGGCCTTAGGTTGCCTTTGGAATTCGAATTTGCCAACGCGTTTGTTTACCCTTTATAGAAACATAAATAACTATTGAGATTGAAAGCTTTTTCCTCTCTTTGGGACTTTAATGTCTTTCCAAAAAGCCTCCAAATTAGATTTTAAAATTATTCAAACAAGTTATTTCCCTCTCCTCCTTCCATTAGCTGAAGTGGGGGGGGGGGCGGTGGGATTTCTGGATTTTTCTCAAGTGCTACATGCCACCCCTTCTCCCATCTGGGGAGGCAATTACGCGATAATTAAGGGACTCACACAGCTCTTTTTATCTTGTCCGCAGTGTGGAGTGGGGCGATCAAAGTAAGGGCTGGCCAAGTTCAAGCCCCGGCGAAGACGGAGTTCATACACAAGGGCTCAGGCAGGCTAGCCTCTGCTTGGGCTGGTGTTGTTATTGTTGATGTCAATCCGAACAAGACTTACAAAGAAATAGGTGGACTGGAAAGTGAGCCTACTATCAAAGGAGATTAATGATTTTGTGATCTCAAGCAACTGTAGGGGTGTGAAGTTGCATTTAAAAGCTTCTTAGAAGGCAAACAAATCATCAGCTTTAAGTTCTCAGGAATGGTATTTTTAGAAACAACATTTTTAAAAGTATCTTCACAAGATACAAAATAGCAGCTACCCTGAAATGTCCTGGTGGCACAAAGCTTCCCCTGCAGGAGTAATTTAACTCGACTCCCTGGCCCCTTCCAAAGCTACCAGGATGGTTAAGTTTTGTTTCTCTTTTAATGGGGGAGGGGGGAGTTCAGGATTCTCTGTTGTAGACAACTTAATTTTATCAGCCACTTGTGATATTTTATTCTCACTAGAATACTTCTCAGATAAAGGAAAATCAGACATTGGGGAAGGGGGAAATGTAGTTATATTAATGAATTTGATTTCATTGTGGACAGACTCAAAGGAAACAGAGAAGACTTAAGCTCATGTTAAAAAATTAAACACTACTGGGAGGGAATAATTAGTCTTAAAAATCTCAATTCTTGGGATATTAAATCAATTTATCTACCCACTTTTATTGAATTTCTTTGACTGCTTTTTACTAGCTTCCTGTTCGTTTAATAAACAAAACAATTTTGTTTTAGATCATTTTCCTTTCCGTCATTTATATTCGGTGCTGGACTTCGGAAAATATCATTTTCAGAATACTTACTTTGGATTTAATTGAGGAAAATAACAAATATTTTTGTGTTAACATTTGATTTATTTAAAGTCCTTAACTGCAAATGATCAAGAACATATTCCACGGCTTAAAATTTCATTTTCGTTATTTAAATCAAAATATTTTAATTACAATCACATTGATAAAATTAACATTTTAAATTTGTAATTTTAACCATCATTTAAAGCAATTTTAACTATAAAGGAAAAAAAAGGAATAAACCATGCAATAAATTAACATTGAGAAAGCAAAGAAGAATAATGAAACCCGTCTGGCTATACTAACACCATGTCCAACTGTGAAAAGTGCATTAACACTGAATGAAACAAGCACACGATGGCAATAATTAAAATGGCCACAATTATTTAGATTTTGGAATTTTGGACCAAATTTTGAAATACCACTCCCTATAACTTATCTCTCCTCCAACATTGTAATATTCCTTTTTTCCTGGAAAAATATTATTTAAATGGTACGGATACATAGAAGCTAACTTTATACATGTTATGTGACCTCAGAATGACATGACAATGGCACTCTGCAAAGCAAGGAGCAGAGTTACTGAGGATGGCAATTCTTCTCAGGGCTGGCTATATGTGGGTGGAGAAGACAAGGGAGGAGGGTGTCTTTGTAACTTCTTGGTCAGGCAACTCTTGAAAATGTCCCATGTATATCACTAACCTATTATTTCTACGTGTTATGCAAATATATGGAGGATGTCTACATAGTTGAGCATGTGCATAAATAAGTCCGTACATAATATATATGTATTTCATTTTAAGACATCTGCTATCTGAATGTATCAGAAATGGAAGCTGAATAACAAATGGCTCTGATGTTTATAATCAGTTTATGTTTTGCTGCATAACAGCAGTGTTGTCCTTCAAATACTTTTAATAGCCCCTAGTGTCGACTTGTTTCTTCACCCTTTCAGTTCTTATGGTTAAGAGTATTGCCATAGACCTGTAAACTTGTGGAGGGTCAGGTGAGGAGAGGGGGGGAAAAAAGCACAACCAAATATTTTACAAGAATGACTTTCTTTCTTTCTTTCTTTCTTCCTTCCTTCCTTCCTTTCTTTCTTTAAATAAACCCTGCACAGACTAGAACGTGTCTGGAGGGGAAAGAGGGAAGAAAGGGAAAGGAATAAGGAAGTAGGAGGATTTTATATATACATTTGCGGATTGTTAAACTTTGCAGGAAAAAATTTTGTTGGTTTGTTGGGATTGGTTTTCTCTGTAATAATATACACAAGGCATTTCGAATACAATAACAAAGTAACAGTCCTTTGCACTGGGGAAAAGATTGTGCACACACACAAAAAATGAAATAAAGATAGCTGGGATTTTATTATGCTGTTGTCGGCTTGGTATGTGTGGTTTTGTTTGCTGTTGATTTTTCTCTCTCTCTCTGTCTGTCTGTCTGTCTCACTCTCTCTCTTGCTACCAGCATGGCCATGCCAGACAAACCCCCAGTCCCAGGGAGCTAGGAAGTGTTTAGGACGGGTCTGGAATACACACCTTGGTAGTAGGCCGGCTCCAGGGCTGAGGGCTCGATGGGGCTCCTGGTGGCCACCGAGGCGCTGCCGAGGGGCAGGCTGGTGGGCAACGCAGCACCATAGGGCGAGTACTGTAGTGCTTGCTCATATGCCTTGAAGTCCAGCTTGTGCTGCTGCTCCGAGGAGGACATGAGGTTGTTGATGGAGAAAGGGTGGTTGAAAGAGTAATGGGGGTCCCCTTTCAGGTGCAGCTGGGACTCGTGGGGAGCCAGGCCGTGCGCCGGGTGGGAGGGGGGCACAGATACCAGCGCCCCGGGCCCGGAGCTGATCGGGGGCGCAGCCGAGGAGGATGGCGTCTTCAACTCCGAGGCGCCCCCTGTCGCCGTCGCCCCGCTGTGGTCCAGAGTCTGGGGGCTGGCAGCCGGCCCGGGGGCCGGCGCGCCCTCTAGCTGGCCTCCCTTCCCGTGCACGCCCCGATGAAGGGGCGAGTTGGCACTGGGGTTGGCGGCGCTCGAGGGGTCCTTGCGGCTCTCAGGACCGCCCTTGGCGCCGCCGCCGCCACCCCCGCTCCCGCTGCCGCCCCCGGCCCCCGGCTGCTTCTCACACTTGAAGCGCTTCTGGCGGCGCAAGTAACAACCGTTCTCAAACATGTTGCCGGAGTCCGGGTGCAGCGTCCAGTAGGAGCCCTTGCCCGGCTTGTCTGGGGAGCGCGCCACTTTGACGAAGCAGTCGTTGAAGGAGAGCGAGTGCCGGATGGAGTTCTGCCAGCGCTGCTGATTCTGCCGGTAATAGGGGAAGAGGTCCATGATCCACTGGTAGATCTCGCTTAGCGTGAGCATCTTGCTGGGCGCCTGCTGGATGGCCATGGTGATGAGCGAGATGTAGGAATAGGGCGGCTTAGCGTGCGGGTAGCTGCGCTTGAAAGTCTTGGCGTCGCCGCCCCCCCCCCGCGCGGCTGCGGCCCAGGTTGGACGGCGCGTACGCCATGGGGCTCATGCACGGGTTCATGGCAGCCGCGTAGGGGCCCAGGCCGTTCATGGAGGCCGCGGGCTGCGCGCCCATGGTGCCCATGCCTCCCGGGCTCAGCGTCGTTCCCATGGCCGTCACGCCCGCCGCCGTCATGCTGTTCATGGCGCCCGCGGAGCCTCCCGGCATGCCAGCCACGGCGCCCGGACTCAGGCCGGCGCCCAGGCCCGGGTTTGCGTAGGACATGTTGAACGAAGCTGGGGTCATGTTGCCGCTCGTGGTCATGGTGTTCATGGTCATGTAGGTGTTCATGGAGTTCATAGAGCCCAGGCCCGAGTTCATGTTGCTGACGGGGACGGAGGAGTAGGCCTGGAGCGGAGACAGCGAGGAAAGAGGCCCCGGAGGGTGGGGTTAGTAGTGGGAGCGGGCGGCCTACCGCCCGGGGCAAAGCCGGGAGACGTGCGGGGAGCATTTCTGCAAAGCGCAGGACCCCCCCCACCCTGGGCAAACCGTCAGGCGCCCTCCCCAGAAAGAGTAAAGAAATGTCTTGCACAGCAGGGAAAAAATCTTATCGCGGCAGGCCTGAAAGACAAGCGCTCACAGAAAATATGTCCCCAGGAAGATGTGTAATCGCCTTACATGCCAGGCTCAGGGGCCGACTTCTAGGGCCCCTCCATCGCCTTCTGCATCCACGCCAGTTGGTATTCCAGTCTCCACCCCAGACCGCCCTCAGCAAAGTCATTTTAGTTAAAAGGAGTTAAACTCCGAAAATAGAATTATTCTCTGACTTTGTTTATTCACCCCACCTTACGGGGTGCGGTGGGTTCGGTGGTGTAGCCCCCCAGGGGCGGGCAACAGAACACTAACTCTGTGCCTAGCTCACCTAAGCCTGCCAGGCCGGGCTGACCACATAGTAGCCTCGGCTGTGCAGGATGGCTATTAATTAAACTTTTCCTGATAGAACTAATCATTCAAGGCCACATGACCATCCGTTTCTCAACAACTGGCTTTACCGCCTTAGCAGTTTTCCCCCAAATGGTGACTTTTCGTTATTATGTTTAGAACGAGTGTTTTCCATCTACTTGCAGCAACTGTAATATTAAAAACGACAGAAACTCAGAAGTTTAGTAAGTCGTGGGAAAAAAAAAAACTAAAAACAGATCTACAAGGGGGGTAGGAGGGAGTGCATAATAATATCAATGCACTACACTTAACTTTAACTTGACTTTACATGTACATCTCTTTAAACCATTCAGGAAGTTGCACTAATTTCGTTACTATTTCCAGCCCCATAACATTTGAAAATTTTGGTGACCCGATTTGTCAAAATGATCTATTTTGTTTTCCCATACTGATATGTTGCCATGATTATTTCAAAGCTTTGCTTTAAAATCCCCCTTTAAATTTCCAAGATCAAAGTCTACTTATTTTCTCCCAATGCTATTTTGTTTCCCAATTCTCAGCTTCAACCTGTAAGAAAGTTCTTTCTATAGGGGACTTCATTAACTAGTGGGTTGAGATGTCTGCATCCGAATTAAGCCTGAGGAAGAGTTCTGAGCTCACTTTTAAATTTTCAGTAAGAGAAAACCCTTATCAATAGCAATTTGGGAATGCCCTATGTATGTTAAAAACATAGAGTCTGGAAACATAAAAACATTTCTGATAGTTTAATAAAAATAATGTCGGATTTTTTTCAGCAGCAGGTACAATTTCATTTGAAAAATTAAAAGGTGTACAAATTTAACTAGGCACACTCTGCTACAATATGCAAATAAATTCAAGCTAAGTTTGTGAATATATAAATACATAAATCTAAAGAAATTAATTACCATCAAAATATTTCCAGATTCTATATTTTTCTGTCCATGTCTTAAAGTATTTCTTTCTTTCTCTCTCTCTCTTCCCTTTTTTTTTTTTTTTTTTGTCGTCCTTTCTCCAAGATTATAGATAATTGTTTTTAGTAATGGTGAACTTTTGGAGGCTAATTGCCAGCTGTTTCAAGAGAAATACTTTTAGTAGGTGGTGGTCCCGCCTGTACCTGGTTTTCCTCACAATCCCTTTGTGCACACTGTAAAATAAACCACATGAACGTGCCACCAAGGGGACAATGAAGAGAAACAGGTTCTCTGTTCGGGGTGCTGGAGGAAAAGTCAGTTCGCACCAGCGCCACCCAGCGGTTCTAGAGTAAAACGAGCCGACTTCTCCCCAAACAGGGCTTTTAAAGAAGTTTTATAAAATTTCGGAATCGATTCATTATTAAGACGCTCAACTCAACGGCAGCGCGCTTTCATCTGAAGACATCTGCGAATTCATCCGTGGGAGGAAGAGGCCGCCCTGCTGGAGAACTCAGTCTTTATCCTAGAGTTACCTCCAACTCTTGCCGGCGCCTGCCCGCCAACCCGCGGCACCCCGGGCCTGGTTCCGGCTCCTGCTCTCCGCAGAGAAGAGGCAAGCGCTTTCCAGAGCGGGTGCCTTCAAAGGCCAGAGTTTCCTAAAACCCTCTGGCCCGCTCCAAGCGCCAAACGCCGGGACCCAGCCTTTCCCGCGGGGCAGCGGATCCGTCTCCAAGGCCCGGCCAAGGCCTGTCCGGGAACACCTCGGGTGGGCCCGCAGCGATGGCACGTAGGAGGCGCCCCCAGCCGGCCAGCCGCCCACCCCGCCGGGCGCCCGCCTCTCCAGGCCTCCCCCGGCAGGGGCTCCGGAAGGGTCCCGCCTGCTGCCCGCTTCTCACCTCCTGTGTGTCCGCGTAGTAGCTGTTCCAGTCGCTGCTCTCATGCCCTTCCATCTTCACAGTCCCTAACATCCTGGAGCCACCCTGCCCAATGCAACCATCCAGCCCTGTGCTAAGCGACGGGCGGCCGCGCGGCGCAGGGCTGGGGGGCGGGGAGCCGAGCAGCTGCAGTCACCCGAACGCCCGCGCCAGCCCAACGCCACCCTAGCGAGGAGGAAGCCAGGCGCTGCGGGGCGCGGCGTGCGCGGCGGAGGCGGCGCGGCGGGCGGGGGCAGGCGGCGGCCGCGGAGCGCGGCGCCCGGGAGCGCCTCCGCGGGAAGTGAGCGGGCGGCCTCTGCGAGACGAGTGCAGTTGAGCTGATGTGGATCTTACGTCGCTCGAGTGCCCACCTCCTCGTCCTCTCCCCATTTGTCGGCCGCACAAAGACGCTCGCACCTACAAAGCCCGAGGTGCACCTGCGAGGCGGCCGCCCGCCAGTCCAGCCGCCGCGCCTCCCGCCCAGCCGCGCTGCTGCCGCGCGCCCCCTGCGCCCCCTCCCGCCAAACCCCCTCCCTCAAACCCGGCCCTCACTTTGTTTGCAAAGCAGCGTAATTGGTTTAAGCCCGGAGCCTGGGGGAAGAGGGAAATGGAATGGGGGGAGGTTAACCCCCTTTGGAAGAGGAAAAAAGAAAACTAGGCGGGGCCGGGCAAGCTAACGAGAGTTCTGGATAGGAACTGCTCAGCCGGAGAAAGGCTGGGGGCGGTGGCGTTGGATGCCGGCTCGCGGGGCCGTGCCAGCTAAATAACCCCAGAGTCCCGTCCCAGGGGGACCCACCGTCTTCCGGGGGCCGCCGGCAGCAGCCCCATCCCGTGCCTCTCCTGCTCTTCTGCCCGCTTCCAGCTCCCACTGTACTGATTACTGACCCAAAGTTCAACACCGGGAGACTGGAGAATACAGATGATCCCCCTCCCCCCGACTTCAGACCTGAAAAAGGAGAAAGCCCCAATTTTGCCCCTTCACTAGAAACTCGGCCATCTGAGTCAACCTAGCCGAGTGACGTTAGGCCTATCTGGGCTCCTGGCTAGCAGACTGGAGACGCTGCCACGAAACCCGTACCTGCGGCTAAGAGCAGGTGAGTCACAGCACCGTTTTATATTTTTATGACATAACTTTTTTTTTTTTTTCCGCCTCGGTCCGCTCTACTTCCCTTGTCATCTGTAGCGATCATAAAGAGGAAGAGGCTGAGAACAGATGTCTGTGTGATAGGGCAGGCGCACCCGAGTCGGGCCGTCCTCCTCTACCCAGCTCCTCCTCCTGCCCCCCTTCCGCAGCCCCGGGGACTGAGCTGGAGGCGACCGTCTGGTTTCTGATAGGGAAAGGTCAGGGGGAGGGGACATCTCCCTAAATGCGCGCGTTAACTGGGAGAGCATGAACACAGGCGCGGGAATGCATCTGCTCGGCTAGAGAGGTGCCAGGCTGAAGCCAGGGATGGTCTGTGGCGGGGCTTGATCCCATCTCTCACCTGGAGGGGCCAGGCTAGCACCGCAGGCGCTTGCTTAGTTCCTAATGGGTCCTGGGTATTGGTGGGAAGTTCTCCCCAAAGCAAAGCCTCTTGGCTTCTGTGAGGTCCTGGGTAGAGGAGTGCCCAAAATCACTTTTGTTGGAGAAGGACCAACTAAAGTGATTGATAAGCGCTGAGCTGGTGATAGGTTGTGGGATGGTGTGAGTTTTCTGAGTATATTTCTAAGTGTATGAATGTGTGTGAGCTTCTAAATGAGTGTGGCCATGTCTGTTTCTAAGTGTGTGGGTGACCATGTGTGTGTCCTACCCTAGGTAGAATCCACTAGTTTTCCGGAAGCAATAACAAAATAAAATCTTTCTAAAATGACTAAAAATCTGCCAAATATTCTTGTTTGGCAAAGTTTTAAGCATGTTATTAATCTCATTTTAAGCAATGTGTTTTAACTTGTCTTTAAGATACCTTTTTCCCTCTGTTCTTTTAAATCTTTCTTCCTTGAAATCTGGCAACAGAATCACGTAAAATCCTTGAACCAAACAAATCTCTTAAATCAGCAGGGGAGCCCAAGAGGGTGAAGATGTGCAGTTAAGGAAATAAAAAAGATAAAAGCGTTGGATTACAATTCCTTTTTTTAACAAAAGGAGGGGAGAGAAATGTCATATTGTAAGGAATGGAATGAGAGTGAAATTAAATCCACCTGGAACTCAGAGCAGGCGCCCTCCCCAACTGCAGCCTGCCCCTGGGACTGCAAGTCCCATCACTTTGTGTAAATGTATCTGTAAATGTGTGGATCTGCACAGATTTCTCAGAGCATCCGTCAGAAACTCATTCTTTTGTGCAAAGTTCCCAGCAGCAGCAGGACCTTGGTTCCATTCGTAAAGAACAGGGATGCTTAGCTTCTTTGGCCTGTTCAGGGGGACTTTCAGTGCTAATGAGCTTCCTTGTTCCTTCTCGCAGTGATTCTCCAACGCCCTCTTGGCTCTTCAGAAACATCGAGCATGACTAGGGTATTATCCATGGGTAGTGACAACTTAGTAAAAGCTTTTATGGTACACAAAAAGCGGGTGCCTAAAGGGGGGGCGCTGTCATTTTATAGGGGGAGCTCAATTAAAACATCAAATATTCTTTCACTTTTAGCCCACTTCCTAAATCTACTAGAGCTCATCTTAAAAAAAGAAAAAAAAAAGAAAAAGAAAAAAAGAAAAAAAAGTCAGCTGAAGAAGAAGAAGGAAAAAAAAAAAAAAACAACCCTACAGCGGGATGTCCAAAGTAAAGTTTTTCCAGGGCTTCTTCAAAGCCCAAGACTGGCGGTGAAGAGTGAACTCTGCCAATTTTAGAGCCTTGATCCAGCTTGGGATTTCCTGGGTCGCCGCCCCGCCCGGAATGACTGGGTTCACAGCACCTCCCGGGATGTGTGTGCGGAGGAAGGGAGGGCGCCGAATCCTCCCGCAAGCTCCCCCCGCGAGCACCGTCGGGGGGAGTCTGGAACTCCGCACGCCGCCCTTTCCTGAGACTTTAGTTCCTGGAGCTGACTGCCTGATGGGGAGGAAAGGGGGCAGCTCGTTTAGCTCCCAGCCTCTCTTCATCTCAGTGACGATGTTCCAAGACCCCTAACACGTTTAGGAAGGGAAGCTCTAGGGTACTCAGATGTCAGCCAGTCATTTCGCAGAGCTTTAAAAGCGAATCATCAGGGTCGTGCCGGGTCTTTGATTTAGAAAATAAACAAGCAAATGAATGACACAAAGCTGCTGTCTCCGGGCTGCTGGCCAGTAGGTAGCCAGGTGACAGGCCAGGTTGCAGCAGTCGACTCATTGGTTACAAACCTCTTCTCCCAAATAGGCCCTGTCTACGCCTTTCAGAAGGCTGTGCTCTGCCTTCCGGGGAACTAGACCTGTCTTCAGCCTCCGGGAGGTTGGGTGGACTCGAGGCTATAGGGGCCGCGAGGACAGCCACGTGGCGTCTCCTGGGGCGTCCCGGGCCAAACTCTCCTGGCTAGGACCGGTCTGCGCGAGCCTAGGGCAGCCCAGGTAGAGGGGAGGGCAGGCTCCCCAGGCGGAGGAAGCCGGAGCGGTCAGGAAGGTGATGTGCGCGGGTCGTCCAGGTGGCCTTGGGCGGAGGAAGCGGCTCCGCCCTTCCCGGAAGCTGCGCCTTCTCCGCCTTTGGAGACTTTCGCTCCAGGCGCAGTCTGGCTGTGGCTGCCGGCAGTATAACATTCGCCGGCCAATCGAGGCCGCCTCCTCTTCCCTTTCCCAGTATTACCTGGCTGGGACCCCTTCCGCAGATCTTCGCCGGCGCAAGGGAGAAGCAGAGGGGGAAGACGGCTAGAGACAGGTCGCTCCTCAGGCCTCGGGCCCAGCCCGCTGTGGCGGCGCCGGGGTCTTTGCGGTTTAGCAGGACCGCGGGGTGTGCAGAGAGCAGGACCCGGGGCGTCGGGCCTCTGTGGTGCCCTCTGGAGCCTCCCGAGGATTTCCCTCTGTGATTCTCCCTAGTCTGTCCCCTGTCTCCGCCGGCCTCCCTCCTGCCAGGGGGCTGTGGCCAGGTCTCGACTGTCGCGGGCCCAGCCGCTCGGGACAGGGTGGTCCGCGCTCTTTCTCCTCCGGTCCCCACCTGCCACCCAGATGAGAAGCGAGAATCAGATGCTATGAAACTAAGACCTGTTGTCTTTCACGGGGTTCAAAGCGGACCTGGACTGGTACCCAGGTCGGTTTAGGACTGAGGAAGGCCTGGGACGCTGAAAGCAGCTGTTTGCAATTACGAGCGACTGGCCTCCGCTGCCCGAGGTGTGTGTCCGAGCCCGGGAAGAGGCCCGGGCGCCTGCCTTCAGCCTCCCAACCGCCACGCGGGAGGCGCGGCAGCCTAAGACTTGGGGGCGCACCGCTGCCAGTCGAGGCGCCTGGGGCCAGGAGAGCAGAAACACCGAGCTCCTGTTCCTTCACGGCATCTCTTTCTTTCCATTACTTTTTTTGTTTTCTCATACCTTCCTTTCTCTGCCCTTCCTTCTATCATTATGTTATTCATCAAGAAATTAATTCAAAACTCACAAGGCATCCGACCCGCAGTAGGTAGGGGCCCTGACCCTGGGACCACCTAATCGGCCTCGTCCAGCAGTTTCGTGCGGAGAAATCTCAGGATCCCGGCCGAAGCCTGGTCGGGTGTTTGTACTCGGGGGGAAAATTCTATTGAAACATTTTAATCCCAATTCTTTATCTCTGGGTTTGTCCTTTCCCTCACTGCTCCCGGAGCCGCCGCGGGGTTTCTGAGCGGCCTGGGGCGCAGGCCTGACTGGCCCGCAGCCGGATGTCAGAGCCGGAGCTGCTCCCTACCCAGCCTTGCCCGCGGGCGACAAAACCGTCTCTCTGGCCCTGAGCTAGCATTGCCCTGCCAAAATCAACTCGCATTTTCATGTATTCAAATGAGAAAGATTGGGAAGGGCGACCTGCCCTCTTGGGCAATCACCAGCCTTGGAGGGAATAAGGGTTGCATGGGTACCCGCAAAGAATGGGAACCTCCCTTCCTCAAGGCCTGGGTGGCAGACGTGGCGCCCCTGCCCAGGCCTGGGTTCCCTGGCCGTCGCGCAGCTCTAGGCAG